TAATTGATCTATTGAACCCCTAAATGGTTGCCAATTTAGTGGGTAAGAAATAGAAGTTAGTTGTGATTTTAACTTGCATTTTTCTGACTCTGTCCTTTATATGAAATAGTATTTCATGTCTTTTCCCATTCTTTTTGATATCAGTCTTCTGTTTATTTACTGGTGTACACACACCTATTTATTAATTCAAAGTAGTAGTAAATTGTCCCTAATATATTGCCACAGTGTTTGGGAATATCATCTTACAGTTTGTACCTTCTTGTCTCTAATGATGGATGTAGATCAACAGAAGAGCTTAATTTGTATCATTGAATTTGTAACTTTTAGTTAGTGCTTTTTGTGTTTCGTTTAAGAAATTCTGCCCTATTGAGATTATAAACATATTCAGTGATACAGCACATGGCCAGTTTTGGTAAATGTTCCATGTATGCTTAAGAAGAGTGTATGCTCCTAATTTGATAAGTATTCTATATATATTAAGTTAAGCTTTGAAATTAGGTCATGTCTATTTCTCTGTTGAATTGATGAGATTAATCTGCTGTGTTGGTGGGTTTGTCAATTTTTCTAGGAATTTTTGCTTTATGTATTTTTGAGACTGTACTATTGTGTGTGTACTGGGTATACAATTATTGAGTTGAAAGTTTTGCATTATTCAGTGGCCGTTTCTATTCCCATTAATGATTTTCATCTTGAGTCTGTTTTTTTCTCCTTTGATAAAATTTGCCTGGTGTATTATTTTTCATGTTATTCCAAATTTTCACTGTATTTATGTTTTTGGTGTTTCTTTGGCAAATAGCATAGTTATATTCTAACAGTCCTTTCTGCCACTAACTAGTGAGTATTTTAATTTATATTTATTACAACTACTGATATAATTTCACTTTTTAAAAAATGTTTATTCAGTTTTGAGAGAGGGAGAAAGAGAAAGAGAGATAGAATGTGAGCAGGGGAGGGCAGAGAGAGAGGGAGACAAAGAACTTGAAACAGACCCCGGGCTCTGAGCTGTCAGCACAGAGGCTTATATGGAGCTTAAAGCCACAAACCATAAGATCATCACCTGAGCTAAAGTCAGACACTCAATAGACTGAGCCACCCAGGCGCCCCTCACCTTTTTACTTTTTAATGCTTGCTATTTGTCTCACTTTCTGTGTTTTTTTTTCTATTTTGACCTCCTTTTTCCACCACTGTACTGTATTAAACATTACCTATTCTCTTATTATGCTTTTAGTAGTTATCCTTTTATCCTTGAAATTGATCCAAACTAATACTGTTTCTAAAACAAGAGTCTAAATTTAATCTTACTATTTTTAAAAATTTTAATTCCAGCATAGTTAACATACAATGTTATATTAGTTTCAGGTGTACAATATAGTAATTCAACAATTCTATACATTACTCAGTGCTCAATGTGATAAGTGTAGTCTTTTTTTAAAGTTTATTTTTTTTTTTGAGAGAGAGAGAGGGAGAGATAGAGATACGGTGTGCAAGCGGGGGAGGGGCAGAGAGAGAGGGAGACTGAGGATCTGAAGCAGGCAGAGATCTGAAAACAGTACAGAGCCTGATGTGGGACATGAATTCACACACCATGAGATCATAACCTGAGCTGAAGTTGGACACTTAACCAGTTTAACCCAGGTGCCCCTCATTGTGATAAGTGTAGTCTTAATCTACCCTTCACCTATTTTATGTATCTTCCCACCTGCCTCCTCTCTGGTAGCCATTGGTTCCCTACAGTTAAGAGTCTGTCTTTCAGTTTGTGCCTTTTTTCTTTGTTCATTTGTTTTGTTTCCTAAATTCAACATGTGAATGAAATCATATTTGTCTTTCTTTGACTTATTTTAGTCAGCATTATACTCTCCAGATCCATCCAAGTTGTTGAAAGCGGCAAGATTTCGTTCTTTCTCATGGCTGAATAATACTCTGGGGTGTGTGTGTGTGTGTGTGTGTGTGTGTGTGTGTGTGTGTGTATGTGTACATACCACATCTTCTTTATTCATTTATTGATGGACATTTGGGCTGCTTCCATAATTTGGCTGTTGTAAATAATACTGCAGTAAACATAGGGTGCATGTATCTTTTTGAATTAGTGTTTTCATATTCTTTGGGTAAATACTCAGTAGTGGGATTACTGGATCATATGGTAGTTCTATTTTTAATTTTCTCAGGAACCTCCATTCCGTTTTCACAATGGCTGCACCAGTTTGCATTCTCAACAGCAGTGCAAGAGGGTTCCTTTTTCTCCACATCCTTGTCAACACTTGTTGTTACTTGTGTTTTTGATTTTAGCCACTCTGACAGTGGACATCTCATTGTGGTTTTGATTTGTATTTCCCTGATAATCAGTAATGTTGAACATTCTTTTCATTAAACTTCATATCTTAATTACCTTCCTGAACAACATTAAGTGCTCCAGAATTGAAACTTTCTTCACTCTTCTGATTTATATGCTATTTTTTAGTGTATTTATTCTGTCTTATTAAGCCCTGTGATTTTGATATTAAAATTAATGTTATAAACAAAATTTAAGATCACTTATTTGGGTACAAATTTTCTTGCTCCTTTTCATTTTATTTCTCAGGCCTTCCAGTTTATGTTACTGAATTTTTTAAAAAAATTTTTAAAAAATGTTTTTACTTATTTTTGAGACAGAGAGAGACAGAGCATGAGCAGGGGAGGGGCAGAGAGAGAGGGAGACACAGAATCTGAAGCAGGGTCCAGGCTCTGAGCTGTCAGCACAGAGCCTGATGCGGGGCTCGAACTCACAGACCATGAGATTATGACCTCAGCTGAAGTTGGACGCTTAACCGACTGAGCCACCCAGGCGCCCCTATGTTACTGCATTTTTTAAGTACCCAACTTCACTTTTCTTCATTTTTTAAAGAAACGACTTACAAGCAGTAGTTTTTGTTTTCATACACATGAAAAAATACTTTGCTCATTTTGTTGCAGGATACTTTTATCAGGATCCGAATTTTAGATTGGAGTTCTTATTTTTTCATCTTTTTTTTTTTTTTTTTTAATTTTTTTCAACGTTTATTTATTTTTGGGACAGAGAGAGACAGAGCATGAACGGGGGAGGGGCAGAGAGAGAGGGAGACACAGAATCGGAAACAGGCTCCAGGCTCTGAGCCATCAGCCCAGAGCCCGACGCGGGGCTCGAACTCACGGACCGCGAGATCGTGACCTGGCTGAAGTCGGACGCTTAACCGACTGCGCCACCCAGGCGCCCCATATTTTTTCATCTTTTTAAGGATAACCAAAGTTCATTCCTCTAGCTTCTTTTATTGCTGTTAAGTAGTATTTTCCCTGTTATTTTTTCGTCTTGTCATGTGAGTTATCTTTTCTGTTTGATTTTAAAGTCATTTTGATTTTTGGACAAAAACACAGTTTTGCCTTACTGTGTCTAATTATGGATTTATTTTAAATTATCCTACTTGATAGGAATAATTTCTTTGTATTCATGTCTGTTTTCAGTTTTGGAAAATTGTCAACATGCGTTCTTCGAATATTTCTTCTTCAGTCTGTTACAGTTTCCTGGGTCTCTGAAGTGCTCAGTTTCAACCTTCCTCTGAAATTTTCTGTCTTCTTATCTTTTATCCTTAATTCTGGTTAATTCCTTTAGGTTTATCTTCCAGTTCTCAATTCTCTTTTCAGTCTTTAAATCTCAGTTTTAGTGTTTTTATCTTTTGTGGGAAATTGTCTCCAAGTAAGTGTTGTCCTTTTCGTTTTTCCCCTCCTCTGCACCATTATATGTTGGTTAACATCACCTCTCTGAGTTCAGCTTCCTGTTTGGTTGTATATCTGTTAATGTCTTCAGAAATTGTCTAAACTTTCTCGCGATGAAAGCACCACTTTAAAATATGATTTTTACCTACCATCTAGTTTTAGCAGGAGTTCACTTTAGGGCGTTGTGTTCATGGTAGTACCTTATTACTTCTTGTTACATTGCAGTTGTTGGTGGACTTATGTCATCTCATACTCTTGTTATGTGTCTCCTCTGTTTATGTGCCTCAAGCATAATAGATAATAACCATTTGTGGAAAGAATTGTCTTATCCTTTCATTTAACATGGTGTAGGCAGTATTATATATTTAGGGTTATAGATTTTTGTTTTTTATAGATTTATATGCCAATGTATTTCACATTTGTTCTCTTTATATGGCTGGATCTTCTAATGTATGTGTCAGACTTGTACATACATATTACATATTACTGCTCCTTAATTTAATAATCAGCATTAACTTAAATATATATTCTGACAATTAAGGACTGTCTCTATTATTCGAAGAGTACAGGGCTGCAATATAGGGATGATGGGAAAGTAATTAATTTTCTTTTGAACATTATTTTCTAACAATTTCTGCATATTAAAATTCTCAAGATTCTAAAATTTAGCATGGCAGTTATAATGGATTCTATCTTCATTTAACTTGGAGAGTTGAAATATACTTATTTCATTCTTGTAAAATTGGCCTTTAGAGCGTATTCGCATTTTGTCTGGACTGTAGGAGTTTTATAGCAAACTGTATTCTACAGACCTGGGACCTAGCATGGCTGAGATCCCCCCACTTGCCCCCTTCTACTCCTTCCCCATACAGCCGCATCCTTAAGCCTTTGGTGATCCCCAGAACTCCCTCCCCTCCAGCCTTTGGTCTGTCCAGTCCCTATCCCCACACATGCACCTCCATGTTCCCTGAGGTATGTGGATAGATTCCCCTTCCCTTATGTAGTACAAGTGTTCCCCAGGAGGCCTGGGCTGAGAGGTAGGACCTGACCCCCCCCCCCCCCCCCCAATTCCTCCCCCTGGCTCCAGAAACTCTCGGCCTATTTGAATTTTAAAATAAAAATGGAAAAATATGGTCTAAGAACTATGAGTATTTACCATTTGTAGTTATTTTAATGTGTTAAAATTTTGAATATGCAATCATTTAGATATTTTGTGCAGAAAAAGACCATCATTTGTTGTAAGTTACAAGTGTCTTTTCTTGTTACTACTTTAGACAAAGAAACAGCCTTGGTATAACAGCACGTTAGCATCAAGAAGAAAACGGCTTACTGCTCATTTTGAAGACTTGGAACAATGTTACTTTTCTACAAGGATGTCTCGTATTTCAGGTACATATTCCGGACTTTTTAAAATATGTCAAATTCTTCTTTCAGATCCATTTCTAGCTTCTTATGATGGATTTATGTAAAGTCCTATTTATAAAGTGCAAGTGTATTTTCAACATAGTCTCCCAGTGTGTTGTGGAGGTTCCTAGAGATCTTAAAGAGGATTGCTTTCCCATAGCTATTTTTGTTCTTTTTTTTCTATTTGGGAATTTTTTTTTTTTCCTACCAGATTTTTTTTTTTTTTTTTTTTAAAGAGCATGAGTGGCAGAGGGGCAGAAGGAGAGGGAGAAAGAGAGTCTTAAGCAGGCTCCATGCTCAGCACTGAGCCTGACACAGGACTTGATTCCACAACCCTGGGATCATGACCTGAGCCAAAATCAAGAGTGGGATGCTCAACTGACTGGGCCACACCGGTGCGCCCCTATTTGGGAGTTTTTAATCTTTATATAGTGAATTATATAAAGTTAAGAAAAAAATCAGCCATGAATATGTGGCTAGGAAAAATAGGTTCCTTTTAGTTGCCTCCTATTATTAAACATTTATTAAGTTCTAAGCACTGTCCTTTGTGCTAAGAATAAAAAGATGAAAGAACTGATTTCTACTGTCAGGGTGTATTGTAAATTAAGGGGGGAGAGCAACAGGTAAATAATTCTATGTGATATTATATGTTCTATAAGTTTATTAGGGGAATAGAGAAGAATTTCCACCATATAGCTGGGAGTGAAAAATATAGGCCACGCTGAAAATGGGGAAGTGGAAGTGAATGGTCACTGTAGGGATTTTGGAGGAGTTGTATTTAGTCAAAGCTAGAATTCATTAAATAAGGTAATTAGAAACATGTTCAAAGGAAGTAACTCATGCAAAGTCATGGACATAGGACAAGTCATGGACAAATATACCATAAGATATTTTCATTGCTTTAAAAAAGGTAATATAGTTCTGCCTTTTGAGCTGTAACCTTTCTCAGTGTCCTTGCTCACCACCAGTGATGTAGGGACATTAATAGCAAGACATTGTTTTTCTTTCTTTCTTTCTTTTTTAGATTTATAGATTGATATACCTATAAAATGTAAAATACAATGCTTGGTATAAGTAAGGTGCTCAGGTAACTGGTGTCATTAGTAATACATCTGCTGAAAATTAGGACCACCAAGGAAAAAAATGTGTGGTATTTAATTAGTTGTTAAAATTTTGGCCTTGGTTTTCTCTTGAATAGGCATATTTGCATTAAAATCTACATATTGTTTAGAACCTTTAGACAAATTTGCCTTAGGATTGGTGATGGAGGGAAAAGAAGATTTACATAGCATATTTCATATGAAGTCTACAGGGGAGCCAAGTTCTATTTATAAGTGTGTGTGAAATTAATGATCAACAGTTTTTATAAGATGGAAAACTTTTATTGTATTGCCTGGGAATTGAGCTCCTTATTGAGCCTCTGTAATAGTCTATAAACTGTAATAGGAAGCTGTTATATTGAAAATGGTCTGAGGGGCGCCTGGGTGACTCAGTCGGTTAAGTGTTTGACTTCAGCTCAGGTCATGATCTCACGGTTTGTGAGTTCAAGCCCCACGTTGGGCTCTGTGCTGACAGCTCGGAGCCTGAAGGCTGCTTCAGATTCTGTGTCTCCCTCTCTCTCTGCCCCTCCCCTGCTCATGCGCATGCTCATGCCCTGTCTCTGTCTCTCAAAAATAAGCATTAAAAAAAAAAAAATTAAAAGAAAAAAATGAAAATGGTCTGAGGCCTACATTCTGATTGGTAGAGGGTTCATATTAACCCTTTTAGGTGTTATTTTTTTGTTATGTTGAAATACAGTGACCGCAAATGGTAGACATTTAAAAGAAAAAAGATGTGGGAAAGAGAGATTGGGAAGCTCTTAATGGGGAAGTTATTAATAATTTTTAAGTAACTAGCATCATAGGTGTGCTATGGCATAATAAAGGTATAGTCACAGACATACTTATTTGGAGGATGTAAATTTACCAGAAGGCAGAATAAATTAAAACCAGGAGGAAGATTATATTTTCATTTTTGTGGGCATGGCTATATTATACTTAAAACATGATTTTAGGAGTCTCAAGTTTATCTTACCAAATTTTCACAATGAGTACACTTAACATATTGCTGAACATGAAGTTCCTTCTAGTGTCCTTGACTGTGAAGAATAAATTTTAACTTCTACCTTAGGAGTACTTGGTGTTTGGTGGTCCTTTTGTATATTTTCAAATGAGAATCCACTGCTCTTTCTTTTCATTTTGAACTCTGAAAATGAGAGATGAAGATTGGGAGATTAATGCCTTGGACTCTTAGTTGTAATTGAATGAGAAGGTAAATTATAAAGTATTAGAAAAGAGAAAAGAGGTGCTGCACACACTTTCACAAACTAAATCTATAATTAGAAGAGCAAAGGTAATATGTTAGTAAATATGTACAATAATTGATCATAAACCTACCAAGCAAACAAAATCCTACCATTTTGTAACCAGATAAAGTGAAATCCAATCTCTATACTTTCAGATACTAAAATAACAATTTTTAGTGTTTTCTTTATCACTTCTGTTGGATGTAAGTGTTAATGAATAGGTATGATGGACAGAGAAGATCAGCCACCTGGGAAAGGATTATGACCTTCAACAGAATATACATTCTTGAATGCTTGTGAATTTTACGTACTTAGCGATTGGTGTCAAAATATGAAAGAATATTTTTACATTAAAGCAATATTTAAACAAATATCTAAGGTGTTTTTCCAGTAAGTATTTATTACATTGAATACTCAATTATATGTAAAAAGAACCAATTAGCTATTAAATTCAAACCACTTTGTAGTACAGTTGATTTGTTTTATTGCAGTACCCCATGTTTTATTTGTAATTCACTGAATTTACAGAGAATAATTTTTGTGGATCAGGAGCATTATTTTAGTAACATGAATACTGCATGCTCATTGGGTTTGTTTCTTTTGCTGTTTTTAGAACAGAAACACTACAAAATTGGAACTTTTGGATATAGGTTGTTAGATGGATTTGCTGTGTTAGTGTTTGAATCTTTAAAATGTAAAATATCAAGGACAGAAGCTTAATATCAGAGACAAGGAATTGTTTTTCGTTGTAGTAAGTGTTAGATAAATGTCTTCGTGTCTCCAGTTATCTTCAAGATAACCTAGTATCTCCAGATGAACTAAATCAGTTCTGTACTGTCTGTCCTATAGTATGGTGACTCTTTAGACTTAATGATTCTTCTGTCTTAATTTCATTATGCTACTGTTATTTTCAGGGACATTTAAGAAGGGGAAATCATGAAAGTTTACCTTGAAAAAGTTGTGTGTGTGTTTATGTATATGAGCTAAGAACGAGAAGAAGGTATGAACACATAGTGTGGCAATCTTATTTCAGATTTCAGTTAGGAAGCTAACTAAAGTAATTGGTGTTTTACTCTTCTTCCTTTGGAAAAGAAAATACAAGTCCAAACGTAAAACGGTTTTGAAAAATACTGATTTTTGGGGTGCCTGGGTGGCTCAGTTGGTTCAGCATCTGACTGTGGCTTAGAGGGTCATGGTCTCCTGGTTTGTGGGTTTGAGCCCCACATTGGGCCCTGCACTGACAGTGCAGAGCCTGCTTTGGATTTTCTCTCCCCCTCTCTCTGCCCCTCGTACTCTTGCTCATTCTCTCTCAAAAATAAATAAATAAATTTAACAAAAATAAAGAAAAATGATTTTTTTTTAAAATTCATGCTTTCACTGTAGGCTTGTTTCTAGATTGGAGAATAGATATCTGTATTCTCAGTCTTTCATGAGATGATATTGTGATTTAAATTCTAGGTAATTTAATTATGAATAGTTTATTGAAATGGACTTTACTCAAAGTATTTATATAGTTTTCTATTGGATGGAATTAATGTTTTCTGTATTCTACCAAGATATTTGAGAATATTTTTTTGAGAATAATTCTATTTTTGAGAATAATTGATACATTGAAGTTTCTACTCTCTTTTCATAATTGGATTTGAGACACTTCGAAGAATGATGTGAACGAGTATCTCTCTTTTTACTTAAAAAACAATTACTTTCTTAATCTAAATTATGTTATAAATTGTGTTTTGACAGTTAGTGAATGTGGGCATGCAGATGTATCCATGTAAACATGTTCCTTCAAAATTACAAATAGACGGTCCAGTGTATGTGCTCCTCTCCCCACCCTCACTTTCTCCATTGATAAGGGATTTTCGTTTTAATAAAAGATTAAACTTTTCTTGATCAGAGGTACTTTTTTGTTTTTGATTTTCTAAGAAATTTTTGCTTAAAAAATAGAGAATTTACAGTATGCTTTTATTGGTGTGGAAAGAGACATTGTCTTTCAAAGAACCACTAAGTAATTTTTATTAAAGCTGAAAGATCAGCGAAATGATTTGTGCATACTAGTATTCTCTAGTTACTTCAGAATCATATTCAGAATATAATTTCTAATGTGTCTGTACTGCTCTTTGACTTCCATTGCACTTCAATTAATTTATTTTGTTTTCTTCATATAGATGATAGTCGAACTGCAAGCCAGTTGGATGAATTTCAGGAATGCTTGTCTAAGTTTACCCGATATAATTCAGTACGACCTTTGGCTACGTTGTCCTATGCTAGTGATCTCTATAATGGTTCCAGCATAGTCTCTAGGTAAGTATTGGGCAGCACTCTTTACTATTTCTTTTACAAAAGTTTCTCAAATTTAATTTGACAAGCAGTTACAGTGTTCTAGTTAAGAGCCAGTATTCTGAGGTCAGGTTCCCTGCCAGTTTTTAGTTCTGTGTTCTTGGGTAAGTTTCTGAATCTCTTTAGTCCTCAATGTCTTCCTCTTTAAAATGGAATGATTAATAGTATTCACCTATTAGGGTTGCAGTTTGTGTTCTTATAATGTCTTTGGTTTTGGTGACAGATATGCTCTCTCATAAGGGCTTCCTTATCTTCATGTTTCTAGAAGAATTGATAGTATTTCTTCTTATGTATTTTGTAGAATTCTCCATCAAGCCATCTTGGCCTTAAGTTTTTTTTGCGGAAAGAGTTTTAAATATAAATTCAATTTTTAAAAGAGATGTAGGGCTAATCAGGTTATTGATTTTTTTTTTTCATGATCAAGCATTATTTTTAGTTTGTGTCTTTAAAAGAATTTGTCCATTTTTATCTAGGTTGTTGAATTTATTGGCATTCACATGTTCATAATATTCCTTTATTATCTTTTTACTGTCTTTAGATACTCTGATGATGTTCCTTTTCTTATTCCTGATATTGGAGTGTTGTTTCCCTTTATATGTTTCCTTAATAGTCTGGTTTAGAAATGTATCAATTTTATTTGTCTTCTCAAATAGCCAGCTCTTGGTTTATTGATATTCTATATTTTTCTGTTTCATTGATTTCTGCTCTTAACTTTATTATTTCTTTTTTTTCCTTTTGTTAAGTTTAATTTGCTTTTATCTTTCTATTTTCTTAAGGTAGAAATTACAGTGATTGAGTTGAAAGTTGCTTCTCTAACAAAACTTGGGCTTTACATTTCTCTACATGCACTGCCTTAGTTGCATCCTGTGAATTTTGATGTGGTGTCTTTTTTCCAAATTTTATTTTTATTATGGTAAAATATGTATAACATAAAATATACTGTCTTAACAAGTGTACTGTTGAGTGGTATTAAATAAATACCTTCATAATATTGTGTAAATGTCCCTAATATCCATCTCTTTAACACTTGACATCTTGTAAAACTGAAACTCAGTACTCGTTAAACAGTAACTTTTCATTCCCCTCTGCCCTGAATCATAGCAAGCACCCTTTTCCCCTCTGTTATCTGATTACTCTAAGTACCTCCTGTAAGTGGAATCATGCAGTATTCAGGGAGAAAGAGAGAGAGAGAGAGAGAGAGAGAGAGAGAGAGA